TCGGTTCAAAATTTTGGTAGGGACATGTCCCTATGGTCCCTATGCAAACCTACGCCCATGGAGTAAACACTGGGACTGTTTATCTTTCGCAGGACGAGGACAGAATGTGGCGGCTGCTCCTTCACCTGATCTGCACTGGCTTCTACCTACAGGTGGGTCTTAACTAGAGATTAGATTGTACCCCTTAAATAAGCCTTCTAACTTTATTCAACCTTTGCCTTATACTCTATATCCAGCCATCTGTCTTGTTGAATTGTCAGTGCTGAAAAATAAAAGGAACAGTTTCCAAAGCACATGAAACACCAGGAAAAGAAAACCACGCTGTCATGTTTATGCTGTAGAACTTACCGTATGTTTGAGGTTTTAGGAATCATTAAATCTCTGAAAGGTCTATTTTAAATCCCTCCATATCAAATGTTTCAAAGCTATGCAAAAAAACAACACAGAAATATTAAAAACAAAAAGCCAGAGCTGTGAGAAATGGAGGAAAACAACCCTTTAAACGGATGAGTCAACAGGAAGTTGATGGATTATTAAAGTAATTTCCAGCTTGACATGGCAGCTCTTTCTCAAGCTTTGTGAGTTCTGCTAACTTTGAACACTTCCTTATGAAAATCTCTGACATCTTCAGGCCTTTGGAGTGAAGTGTCTTACATATACAGTTTGTAAACTACTGGATCTAAATCTGATGAAATTAAAGAAAAGTCTGAACTGGAATTGGCTCATTGCCAATGATATTGATCCCACTTAGATTAAAACAATTTTTATTGAATTAGAAATGAAGAGATTAAATCAGAAGTGTGCGATATTTAATCTTGTTTCATGAGTTAATTTCTATTTTTAGGTGTACATCTTTACATTTTAATCTTAATTCAATAAATCTAATATAATACCTTTTTTCTACATTTTGTCTGTATTGGAAGTCATTTTTAATGCATTGCAAAATAAAAAAAAGTTAAATCAGGATCAGCATCACATCAGTCTGCATGTCCTGGCTGCTCATTGGCTTATTATGCTGGAAAAAATAATTACTAGTAATTGTTGATCTATTTTAAGGTTTTCAAATTAAACCAGCACAAAAATAAACCATTCCATTTTCCAACCTACAAAAACTGGTTTGACCAGTAAATTTCCCTCATTGTTGTCACAACTAAGATTTTCTAAACAGCACAACAAAGAATTTCTATATATGATATTAATTTCTCATTAGATTTTTTAAGGGAAGTTGGAAAACCAGATGTCTGCTTTATCTGAACCA